GTAGTGCGCACTTCATGTGCATTCAATAAATAAATAAATAAATAAATAAATGCGGAAAAGAGTTTACGGGCAAGCTACTGCCTCACTACGCGATTCCGGCATCCTCTGCCCTCCGGGAAGGAGACGAGCACGGTGTCTGCGAACGTGTGCCACGCAAGGAGCGTGCGTCCCCGAGGCCCCGAATCCCTCACTCGTCCTGGTGTTCCTAGGTGCTCGCAGCTCGCATTCCATCCGCCATCTTCCTCGCACCCTGGAACCTCTCCTCCTTCTTGCCAGTCCTGGCAGTGCGATGATCCTGGTGGCTGCAATCTCCATTGTAGATGAGGTCGGTGGACAACAACGATGTCTATGAACGAAGTCAAGGGGCGGCCGCGATATTTTGACATGGGGAAAAGTGACAAAGTTTTGTGTGCACACTGCGCGGCGCCCAATGCCCCGTGACAATCGATGTGGACGGCGCGCAGCGTGATTGGTGGAAACGGTAGAGGGCGTCGAATAATACGTGCGCGCTGTAGTGACAGATTGGTGTTGACGAAGTTGTGGGCTTCACGACACAAGGGAATTGTCACACCAACTGGAAAGGCGAATGAAATATGTAATCTGCGGTGCTGTAAAACACATTTTGCGGTTTGATGCACAGAAGCAAACACAGCAAGGGAGCACTACCCTGGATACAACTTCGGATTTTCTGAGCTTAACGGTATCACTCACAGAACGAACGGAGACTGTCCTTTATTTTTCGATCTAATTAGACGGATTGCTGCAATCATGTAATGACAATGAATATCTTTGGTTTAAGTGACAGTAAACTCATTTTTGTCGGATAAATGAAACAATCAACTCATTCAAGTGAAAATGCAAATACGAAAGAATTATATGACGCAATAGTTCGAAGAAACCTGCTAAAAAGAAAAAAAAGTTCAGGGCTAGTGATTAGTGGAACTGCCCTGGCTTGAATGTGACTAATACTGTGCTTTTTTCTTGCTAAGTAACCTTAGATAAAATTGAACGTCATGGCACTTTGCACTTTGAGTAGAAAGACATGTTGAATTTTTCGAATTCCTGGATGGTTCACTGAAATTCTACTGAAGTTCTACTTTCTAAACTTTCAAATACAGAAAAAAACAGTTCTATAGAATAAGGCCTTCCAAGTCGCTGCGCAAAGTAGTTCATATTCAAAATAGACCTTAGTTATATCTAACACACTGCCACGAATACATTCAAGCTAAACTTCATCGCCTCAATTCTCTACCAGCGCATGATAGATGCATAAGTTGCAAAAATACTCAGAGCCAACTAAGTTTTACTGCTAACTTGGTTTCCTTTGATCCAACATAAATGACTTTATTACCTATTCAGGTTGAGGCATTTCTGGACTCTGCTCCACGCATGTGTGAAATAACCACATCAGAAAGAAAAATAACTCACCATCATCTTAGATTAGCTCTCCCCTTACTAAATTTTCTGAATTTCTCCCGCACTTTCCTTATCGAAGTCAAAGATAATACCTCGTGACGGTTGATTGCCAGAGATATAAACAGACACTGATGTGCTCAGAGCCTTCGAAAAACAAAAACGACAACGACAACGACATTCGACAAAAATGGCAAGTTTTCTCCTTGTTCTCTTTTTGTTGGATATATCCCCCCTCTATATGTTGAGGAAGCGAGCAATAGTATATGTTCCAGAAGCACCTAGTGCTTGCGCTTTGTCTCCATTTATGTCGAACATTAGGAGCAGATACAGATGGTTAGTAGCCTCTCTACCTCGATGAATATTTACTTGATGACCCGATCATCATGATCATCCCTTACAGATGCTCAAGAAATCCCACTGCATGCACAGATGTTGACTGGTGCACCACTGGTCGAATACCTACAGAAGAACCAGAATCTTTTTCAAGTGATCCATTTTGATTGAAAGTACCTCTAAATTCGGCAAAAGAGCAAAAATTTCTTTTTTAGGTGAGATCCACTCCGACACCTGGTTTCAAACATAAATTAATGGATGTGGCATTTGCGAATCAGAATTCGAATCCTATTGTCAATGATGACAATGACACCGGCGCTGACCTTCCGGAAAAGTAAATCTCTATCTTCGTTGCATCCCTTCTATCATTAGGCTCTGACGGAAGCCCTTCATGGAATCAAAACCTTAAAGCAATCGACATTAAGGAACCCTTCCAGTTTAGCTACACAGTCAACTTTCCTTCGAGCTAAGTAGTTGCTTGAGAGGGAGAAACTTCAAAATTGGGCAATCGGTATCTTGATACCATTTTTTGTTGTCGTAGGCGAGTTGAGGATATGGCTCATCTTGGTTGAACTCCTCCTTATGAGGGATACGCTCATCTTTGAAAATGATCGGTTACTTCTGCCGCAACAATTGCTTGAAGGAACTGAAAAATTTGAGGGAGATATAACACGAATATGTAGTGTTGCTTTTTTACTGCACGTCAACAGCAGCAGTAAACAGGATGCATTTAAACAAGGTACATTTACAGCTACGATCCACGAATTGTTTGGAAAAACTGTTCATCTTTCCACACTATCCGAGACCAAGCAAACTGCGGTGAGAGCTTGAATGCTCAGGGAGATACATACGAGCGTGTGGTTCCCATGTATTACAGAAACATACACCTTCAGGCTCATGCTGGGCAGTCTCCACTGCAGCTGCAATTTCGGATCGCATTTGCATAGCCACCAAAGGGAAAAAGCAGGTATGTTTATGCTAATGCTTTGCAGCTTATTTTGAATTCAATAGAGCAAACTTCAGGTGTATATCTCTGGTGGTGATATTCTGACATGCTGTGGATCACCTTGCGGTTTGGGGTACGATCTTAGGAGTCGTTGTAGTATAAGAATGAGAATTCTCTATAAAGGCTTTTTTCCATCAACAAAAACACTTCCTAGCTTAGGTGTAGAGGAGGGTACACCATAGAAGCGTGGAGATTCTTCGAATACGACGGAGTCGTTTCTGGAGGACCTTACCTTGGCAAGGTACAGTGATTGCGAGTTCTAGACGCGATTTGTGAAGATGCTATGTATATTGGTTTGTTATTAGGGATGCTGCACCTCTTATCCACTTCATCCCTGTGGACGCCATGGTAACCACACCTATTATGGAGAGTGCCGTGGAATGGCGCCCACTCCGCCATGCAAAAGGAGATGCCAATCTGGCTTCAGGAGAGTGTACCGAAGGGACAAGCGATACGGTATGCGTTGTACACTCATACATAGCTACCTCTGCTAATGTAGGACATCTGGTCAAAAAGGGAATCGAATATCACAGAAAGAGTCAAAAAAAAACGATGGTACATTCAGTAATACTGTGGCGAAATCTACCAACGTGAAAGGCTTGAATTATATGTATGCTAGGTGGGTTAGCAAGACAGTCAGCCAAGGAGCAAAAGATAGAATTTTCTGGAAAGAAAGGGTAAGAAACTATCGAATAGTGTTTAAATCCTACACATCTCCATCCTAAATCTACAATGCGCAAATGAGGATGTAGAGGAAGCTTCTTCTTCACTCCTGGTCGCTGGCTACCAGTTCACTCTCATCCACCTTATGGTAAAAGTTTCCTATATATCACTGGTATTTCATAAAACACAAAGGTTGTAGTTATGGGCGTTTACGCTTAAGCAAGTATATTTAGCTAAAACCAGCAGCAGACGGAACTCTTATTATGTCTGCCTTTGAGCATTTTGACGTCCACAACCCTAAACTACATGCTATATTTGAGATCAATCTTGTTGATCGGCACTGCTCATAACCTGTTGCCTGAATGACCGCAATTTCATCGTCTTTGCTCAAACTTACTTTTTTCACTTACGCCATTTAAAAGTTTAGGCGAGCCTGGCAGGACTTACACATTGCCGAGATCTGAGGTAAAAATTCGAAGAGATATCAAGGAAAGAGGGTCGGTGACTGCCATCTTCGTTGTTTACGAAGATTTCTCGCTCTATCAATCAGGAATTTATAAGGTGAGTCTTCTGAATGGAGCTCAAACAACCTTTAAAATTGCGCACAGATAGAAAATTCATTTTTGGGCTGCTGTCTTTACCCCTTACAGCCTTTATCCGTGGTTGTGCATGAGGAGACCGGAAATCTGTAGCATTTGCTTACAGCACACCGCTGGTGACTTCACAGGTGTTCACGCAGTGAAGATGATAGGATGGGGAAAGGAAAATGGCACGGACTACTGGCTCATCGCCAATTCTTGGAACGACGACTGGGGTGAGAATGGTGAGTCTCAATTACAGTTAAGAGTCCCATTTTATCGTAGAAATTACGTGGCTGTTAAATGCTGCTGACTAATTGTTACCGCTTCGAGTCGAAGCTAAGACTAACAATCTACTCTATAAGTAGTCTTGTTTCTGGAAGTCGACTTTATCCTAATTTACTCGCCTCATTGGATACCTCCTCTGCATAACACTAAATTTGACACTAATATCCAAAAAAGAATGCGAGAGTTGCAAATGAACGTGATCATAGCTGTATTTGTTACCTTCCAATATAGATGTAAAACATTTTCCAGGATTCTTCCGTATGATTCGAGGCATCAACAACTGTGGCATAGAACAGAGTGTCAATGCTGGAATCGTCGACGTTGAAAGTCTCTAACACAGTATAAGTTGGAATCAAACCAAATAAAAAGGGAGTCTTAATCTGACGGAAAAATGAAGCTTTGAATGAGTTCTCTCATCTCATATTTCACAAAAAAATATGCTTTGAAAAAAGCTCCGATAACATATAGAAGAGAACAGCAACCAATTTTTGTTGAATTACGATGAGAGTAAACTTCAGCTGCTTCTCATTTTACCTACTTCCACCTATTTTCACAAATCATTGTCTTTATGTGAAGGTTTCAGCTATGGAAAGTACATTCCATGAATGGTATGAGGAAGAAGGGCAGGAGAGATATGCCTTTTGTTAGCGAACCTTTCCGCTACCTATATTTGATGCTGTCGCCAAAAGCTTACAGTTGTTGGCTTCTTGAACCTTCTAGTCGAATTGAGCCTGCTGACTCCACCAAAGGTTTAGCTGTCGCCTTCAAAAAAATTCGAAGTCTAATTGTTGAACATGGGGGCGAGAAATTTAATTGAAGCGTCGACCCTCAGCTATGGTAAGAGAATTGTTTGGAAGAGATAGCACAAGGCATCTTGGAGGACTTTTCGTGTATGGATAACATCCACTCGGTCGATCAGTTTATTGAGAAAAGTTGAGAGTATGGATTCCAAGGGGGTGTTCGACACTGTGGAAATCAACGCTGTCCCAAATGCTCTTGTGCAAGCATTACTTCCGCCTATCCAGCTGCTCGAACAGTTTTTTCAGACGCACAAACATTCATCCAACTGCTTGAGCGAAAGCTCAAGATTTTAGTTGGAAAAAGGGTACGGCAAGGAGATACGATCTCACCAAAGGTTTCCACAGCTGCTCAGTATGTGATGTCAAAGATCGTCTGCGAAGAAAGGGGATACGCCGTCAATGGTACGAGGGTTGCCTTTTATATTTCGGGATTTGGAAACACTAGTGTAGCAATCTAGCAACCGACACCACTATCGTAAAGTTTGACTATTTTGAGGTTCCGTTGCAAAATTTGAGCGCGATTTGTGTTGTTTACACTAAGTTATAAAATTTTGTTTTGGCCGAGTTATGGAGTTGAACCGTGGGCATTTTCGCGCGACAACTTTCGACGTGGACTAACTCAACAGCAATGCATGGATGAACTTGGTTCAATTTTTGGGGATGAAGCTCCATCCAGGAT